TAAGGTTCATTAGAGAGGCCATATTTCCCAGGAGAGGGAGCACATGGCATCCATCCCTATCCAGGCAGCAGGAGGATCTGGGGGCCGGAGGTGAGGTAGGTATGTACTAAGGTGATCTGGGTGAAGAGAGGGAGCAGCTAGTAGGGAGGGAACTCCAGGGCAGGGAGGAGCTCAGGTATGGGTGGAGCTGAGGATCAAAGGTGAGCATAGTGCTCACAGGAACAACTCCAAAGCCATCTCATGAATGTCCTGGGCTGGTAAGGCTGGTCAGACAAGTGAGGATGATCAGTCTAGGGAAGTGTGGCCCAGAAACTGCAAGGCAGTTTCTTTTTTGTCACTGGAGGACACCTGAGAGGTTCCCTCAGCTTCCCACAAAGTTGCAGTTCCTTGAGATCCAATCATGTAAAGCATTTGAGGTTGTCTCACAAAAAGATGAAAATTTTAGCCAGGATTTATTTTAGTAAAACAGGGTTAAAGTGCTTGATCTTCAAGCAAGAAATGGGAGTTCAAGACTAAAAATGTGACTCAGCTTATTTCGGCTGGTCCTGGGATTTGAACTCAGGGCTTGGGTGCTGTCCCTGAGCCTCTTTGTATTCAATGCTAGTACTATATATTCAATGCTAGTACTCTACCACTGGAGCCACAGTACTACTTCAGGCTTTTCCTGAGTAGTTTATTGTACATAAGAGTCTCATGGCCTTTACTGCTTGGGCTGACTTCAAACTGCAATCTTCAGACCTCAGCCTCCTGAGTAGCTAGGATTACAGGCGTAAGCCACTGGTGCTCAGCTTTATCTATAGCTTTTATACTGAGATTCCTTACAGTGAAATTGGGTAGATTAAATGTGTAAGGTTCATTCAAAAGTCAGGTGACACTCAGGACTTTGTTGTTGCCAAATATGTCTTTCATTCTTTATGTCTCTATCCATTTAGGAAAACTTTCCAGATTTCTAGTTTAATTTATGAGTCTGGCCCTTTTAATATTTGCTAAAAATAGTTTTCTTGTTTCCTCATCTATCTTTTTTTTTCCTTTTCTTTTTTGTCAGTTGTGGGTCTTGAACTCAGGGCCTGGGTGCTGTCCCTGAGCTTCTTTGTGCTCCAGGATAGTGGTCTACCACTTGAGCCACAGCACCACTTCCAGTGTTTGAGTGGTTAAATGGAGATAAGAGTCTCTTTGGGGCTGGGAACGTGGCTCAGTGGAGAGTGCTTGCCTTGAACGCATGAGACCCTAGGTTCGATTCCTCAGCACCACCTGAGCAGAGAAAGCCGGCAGTGGCTCTATGGCTTAAGTGGTAGTGCTAGCCTTGAGCTGAAGAACTGAGGGACAGCGCCCAGGCCCAGAGTTCAGTCCCCATGACTGGCAAAAAAAAAAAAATCTCTTTGAGACTTTTCTGCCTGGTTTGAACTGTGAGGCTCAGATCTCAGCCTCCTGAGCAGTTAGGATTACAGGTGTGAGACACTGGCACCTGACTTCATCTATTCTGGTTTATATTCTTATTTGTTTTTTGAGTAAGGTGATATCTCCACATTTTTCCTATTCCTACCACATTTCTCCTTGTTTCCAATAGTTAGAAACGCTTGAGAGTTCCTTAAAGGGAAATTCTGACCAATAAATAGTAAGAACACAAAGCTGTTTATCTTTGGTGGTATGTCAACTCGGAACACAGTTTATTGTCCCAGTCTATTTTTATGGATGTGTGCATATACTACTGCTGATTTTCTAACTTGTTTCTTTTATTTTTTCCCCTTTTAGACAGGCTCTTGCTATTTTGCCTATTCTCATCTCAAACTTTTTTTTTTTTTTTTGCCAGTCTTGGGGCTTGAACTCAGGGTCTGAGTGTTGTCCCTGAGCTTCTTTTGCTCAAGCTAGTGCTTTACCTGTTGAGCCACAGTTCCTCTTCCACCTTTGCAGTTGTTAACTGGAGATGAATCTCACAGTTTCTTCGCCCCGCCCACCCGCCCTGCCTGCCCCTGGCCTCTTATTCTTTCTTTTGTTGGTCATGGGGCTTGAGCTCTGGGCCTGGTTGCTGTCCCTCAGCTCTGCTGCTCAAGGCTAGCACTCTACCACTTGAGCCACAGTGCCACTTACGGTTTTTTCTATTTATGTGGTGCTGAGTATTGAACCCAGGGTTTCATGCATGCAAGGCAGGCACTCTACCACTGAGCCACCTTCCCAGCCTGAGTCTCACAGTTTCCTTCCTGAGCTTGCTTCAACCCGTGATCCTCAGATCTCAGCCTCCTGAATAGCTAGGATTACGGGCATGAGCCATAGGTGCCTAGCTTGGTCTCAAACTTTTGATCATCCCAATTCAGTTTATCCAGTGTCAGGATTATAGATATGGGCTACCATGTCTGGTGTACTTTGAGTTTTAGAAGGTCGGGGGAAGCTTTTCAGTGTGGTATTCTTTCTCATCCCTTACAATTATACAATTACAGACTCGCTACCAGGGAAGTTACTGGGAACAACTGGTTCCCAGGAACCAGTCATGGGAAAGCCCTGCCCAATTACTAAACAATAGCAATTCTGTTGTGTACAAGAAGACAGGAAATAACTAGTTGTGCTGACAACATGCCTAATGTATCCACTGTGATTCTGTGTGCACTCTGTCAGCAAGGCCACACTTACCACGTGATCTGCCTTAGCCAATCACAGGTGATACACCTGTTGGAGCAAAGCTGCTGGTTATATGAACATGAAGGGAAGGCCCATGGGAAGAGGAAGCTGATGATTTGTGAACTTAAAGGAGAGATCCTTTGTGCTGACTCATATCTTCGTAGGTACCAGTAGAACATGTGCCCAGTTTTTGAAACATATGGAAAACCCCTGCTGTCTGGATCCCTGGTAGGTTTTACCTGGGGTAATCCCTATTACCAAGACATTCCCCCTTGGCATTTCCAACTGAGACATCATCTTTTTCCTCTTGTAGGCTTATACAGATGGTGCAGGTTCACAGTTCAGTGTGGTTATAAAACCAAAATACTTTCTAAGAAAGTCGAGGCTCATCTATATTTCTGAGTAACAGCTAGTATTTAAGGAGAGCTTAGTATGTCTGCTGGTAAATCCTCAGCCCCTCCCAACACATTTCAGTAAGGTGAATGATTACAGGTGTGAGCCAACAGTGCCCGACTAATAATAAGCCTTCTTATAAACCTTCTTCTGGGAAGTGGCGCTGTAGCTCAAGTGGTAGAGCACTTGCCTTGAGCTGAAGAGCTGAGGGACAGCACCCAAGCCCAAAGTTCAAGCCCCACGACCGACCAAAAAAAAAAAAAAAACCTTCTTCTGTGCATGAAGAGTACGTCCCACCACTAGCCCCTGAGTTAAACTACTTTCCCCCTCCTCTCCCTCTTCCTTTTTTGTGGGGCTTGGGGGCTTGAACTCTGGGCCTGGGGCTGTTCCTCAGCTCTTCAGCTCAAGCTAGCACTCTACCACTTGAGCCACAGTGCCACTCCAGTTTTCTGGTAGCTTATTGGAGATAAGAGTCTCCTGGACTTCCCTGCCCACATTGGCTTTGAACCATGATCCTCAGATCTGTCTCCTGAGTAGCTAGGATTACAGGTGTGAGCCACCGGCACCCAGCTAATAATAAACCTTCTTATGAACCTTCTCCTGTGCATGATTTGTCTCTGCGTGGTCCCCTGGGATGCATTCTTACACCCACAATGATCAATTCAGAGAAATTAACACTTTATATTTCACAATTTGTTTTCATGAACTCAGAACACATAGAATTAGAGGTGAGTGGAGTGAAACCTTTTATCTTTACAGATGGGAAACAGACCTGGAGAGGGATTTTTGGTTTATTTTTTAATTTGCTCAAGGTCCAGTCTTACTAGTGAACTTCTAAACTCTCACTTTGTACCTGTCACACAACACATATAACTTTATTTCACATATAACTTTTTCTCACAAAGAATCATTTCCCCAAATTGTATTTATTTATCTATTGATTCATGGTTAATTTTTTTTTGAGACACGTCTTGTAAGTAAGTAATGTAGCTCAAGCTTGCCTTGAACTCAGGATTCTCTTGCTTTAGCCTCCATTGTGCTGGGACTAAAGCTGCACACACCATGCCTGGCTTTATTTTTATAATTGCTTTTCAATTTCTCACATGCATTGCCATTTTCTTTCTTTTTCTTTTTTTCACCCCTGAAAGAGGGTGAAGAAAAGGAAAGAGAAAGAAAAGAACGGGTGTGTGGGGGAGGGGGAAAGCTGGGCAGGTGGCTCAGTGGTAGAGTTGCTTGCCTTGCCTGCATGAGGCCTGGGTTCGATTCCTCGGCACCACAGAAACAGCAAAAGGCGGAAGTGGCGCTGTGGCTCACGTGGTAGAGGCTGGCCTTGCGCTGAAGAGCCGAGGGACAGCGCCCAGGCCGAGTTCCGGGTCCAGGACCAGACCCAAAACACAAAAGAACGGCGGAGGTCGGGAAGGCGGAGACAGGAGGATCGCGAGCCTGAGGCCGGACCACGCAGTGACCCCAGCTCGCCAACGAAACTGACGAAGCAGGGCTGGGGGCGCGGCTCGGGCGGCGGGAGCGCTGGCCCTGTGCGCGTGAAGCGCGGAGGTCAGACCGCAGAGCTGCCACGCAAAGGCCCGGAGCGGGCGGACGGTTAAAAGCGTCACGAGAAACTCGCTTCCTTTGGAGCACCTAGAAAGCGCGCGGGCCTCACCGAAGGCCGCCACAGAGGCCTCCGGAACTGTCGCCCTGACCCACACGGCGACTGCGCGTGACGCAACTTCCGCTATCACGATCTCTCCCCTTCCCCCTCCCTTGCCCGCGGGCCGCTGGCTTCAATGACGGCGGCGGGCGGGGCGCATGCGCGAGCCCCGCGGCGGTGAACGAGCGTCGGGGATTTCGGTCCGCAGTTGCATCGCCGGAGCGGCCGTGGCGGGATGGTGTAGCCGGTTCTGCGGGCGGGCGGGCCGAAGCGAGGCGGCCGGGGACGGCGGACGCCACCTGACGGACGTGAGCGCCGCGGCCGCACGCTGAGGGGGCGTCGCCGCCGCCGGTCCCCGGCGCTGCCGCGGGAGGCCGCACCCGCCATGGCGGCCCGGGCCGTGCTGGACGAGTTCACGGCGCCCGCCGAGAAGGCGGCGCTGCTGGAGAGGAGCCGCGGCCGCATCGAGGGCCTGTTCGGCGTGAGCCTGGCGGTGCTGGGCGCGCTCGGGGCCGAGGAGCCGCTGCCCGCGCGCATCTGGCTGCAGCTCCGCGGGGCGCAGGAGGCGGTGCACAGCGCCAAGGTGAGTCGGTCGCCCCCGCTCGCCCCCCGGGGTCCCCGGCGCCCGGGACGGCCACGCGCGCGCCCCGAGGTGCGCTCCCCGCCCGTAGCCCAGCCTGGTGCCTCGCGAAGCGGTTTCATCTCCGGGCCTCAGTGTCTCCATACGCAAAGTGGCGCTGACAAAAGCACTTTTGGGGACAGTCTCGGGGATGGCGTTTGGAGGGCGCAGGGTCTGGTGGGGCTCAGCGTCGCGATTGTCGCCTGCTATCTGTCCCCCCGCGAATGCTCCCCACGAAGTGCGCAAGACCCGCAGCTCCTGGGTCTCAGCCCTCCTCTGTAAGGGTTCTGAATGAACCCTTGGGGAGATAGGATGTTTGATCTCTTGTTTAAAACAACTCCTTGTATGGATACTAGTTACGACGTTTACATAATACCTGTAGCACCTCACTTCAGATGTTACCCCAAATAATTGAGAAGGAATAATGTCCTTAAAAATCCGACGCGGTGCTTCTCGCTCTTCCTTTTCTGATGAACAGCTGGGGAAACTGAAACTCAAAGTGTGACTCACCTAGTGTCTTATCCGCATTTTAGACTTTACACCTTCAGCTGTTTATTTCCTTCCCAGGCCAAACAACAAAATGTGTCTTTCGAGGAGAGAGAAGCATTATGTCTTCTGAAGGTTTTTCAATTGAACCTACGAAATAAATCCATGAATTGAGTTTGCAGTGAACTTGAGGTGGGCTTTTTTTTTTTTTGTCCTGGGCTTGAACTCGGGGCCTGGGCGCTGTCCGTGAGTCTCTGAGCTCAAAGCTAGCATTCTACCACTTGAGCCATAGCGCCACTTCCGCTTTTTTCAGAGGAGTTTATTGGAGATAAGAGTTTCACGGACTTTTCTGCCCTTTCTACCTGGTCTGGCTTCCAACTGTGATCCTCAGATCTCAGCCTCCTGAGTAGGTAGGATTACCAGTGTGAGCCATGGGCGCTAGGCTAGGCTAGCCATTTGTATAACATCTGTGTGCAAGGAAGACTCACAAAACATAATAGGGAAGGGCCAGGTTTGTAGGGGCTGGAAGTGAGACCCTCTATTGGTGTTGGGAGAGTCTCCCCATCCTATGATCAGGAACTTCAGAGGAAGCCCCTCCCTGCACTTGATGTGCCCAGTTTGCTGCATACAAAAGCCCAGTGCTGTTTTGAAGAGGCATTTCCTGAACTTCAGGCTTTCCCCAGATTCACAATTTTTCCGGGTTTTCCCAGGTCTTAGTAGGACATCAGGATTCTGAGATAGGGACTTTGTTTGCAAAGCCCATGTCCTTAATATCTGCCTCCCAAATAAGGAGGTTCTGTATCCTTTTGGGCAAATTTCACTGCCCTTTGAGAATCGTAAGTAGTTGGAGCCTCTGACTTTCTTAGATTTAATAAGTAAAAAGTCTGGATGCTTGGGTTGTTCTACCCCACAGCTTAAACTTAAAACATGTAAATGTTGCATCTTGCCCTTCCCCCGCCCCCTTAATTCATTAAATCAGTTATCTCATTTTAGTCAGCTCATCTTCCTTCTTTCTCTCTGTCTACTACTTTCTCTTATTACCTAGGGTCAACTAAATTGAAATATTCTTACATTTTCTTTCTTTCTTTCTTTCTGCCATGGGGCTTGAACTCTGGGCCTGTCCTCAGCTCTTCAGCTCAAGGCTAGTGTTCTACCACTTGAGCCACAGCGCCACTTCCAGCTTTTCCTGCTTATGTGATGCTGAGGAATCGAACCCAGTTTCTCATGCATGCAAGGCAAGAATTCTACCACTGAGCCACCTTCCTATCCCCTCTCACAAATTCATCCCTCTCCTTTCTGTTTCCTTTTTTCTTTAATTGAGATCTTGGTGTTTGTGTGTGCGCTCCTGCTTCATTACTGCATTGCTTTCTGCTCTCTCTGTCAAGAGTAATCTTTGTTAGAGTAATCACAACCCTGCCTGGAACCTTTTAGGGACAGGTGTTACCTACCTTCTCTAGTCTTACAGGACACCTACTATACCAACTCCATCTCTCTCTTCTTTTCTTTGCCAATTCTGGCACTTGAACTCAGGGCCTGGGCACTGCCCCGAGCTTCTTTGGCTTGAGGCTAGCACTCTACCACTTGAGCCACAGTGCCACTTCCAGCTTTTTCTGTTTATGTGGTACTGGGGAATCGAACCCCGGGCTTCATGCATACCAGGCAAGCACTCTTATCACTAAGTCACATTCCCAGTCCTCCATCCTATTTTCTGTTTTAGCAGCTTTCAACTTAAACTTCTACTCTAGGCTAGTTTACCTTTGCTGGGTGTTGGCCTATTGGTTCTGCTTTTTCTCATTACACCACAGGAGTGGACAGTACTTTACAGAAAAGCCCTACTCCTTCCACCAGGCTCTTCTATTCCAATTCATCGTCTATCCCAGCCAAGAATTTAGTATAGCATGAGATAATTGGAAAAGGTGTATCTTACAGTATCTTAGTAGTTATGTCATCTGCTGGGTTATCTTTTTAACATATAAAATTACTCATACTCTGATCATCTATACATTTATAAGAAATCTTTTTTTTTTTTTTTTTTAATTTTGGGTCCGGTCGTGGGGCCTGAACTCTGGGCCTGGGCACTGTCCCTCAGCTCTTCAGCTCAAGGCTAGCCACTCTACCACTTGAGCCACAGCGCCACTTCCGGCTTTTTTTTCTTTTTGCTTATGTGGTGCTGAGGAATCGAACCCAGGGCCTCAGGCATACAAGGCAAGTGCTCTACCACTGAGCCACCTTCCCAGCCCAGAAATCTTTCTTTATCCTTTTTTTTTTTTTTTTGCCAGTTCTGGGGCTTGAACTGAGGCCCTCGGCACTGTCCCTAAGCTTCTTTTTGCTCAAGGCTAGCATTCTACCACTTGAGCCACAGCACCACTTCTGGCCTTTTCTGTTTATGTGGTAGTGAGGAATTGAACCCAGTGCTTCATGCATGGTAGGCAAGCACTCTATATTACTAAGCCATGTTCCCAGCCCCAAGAAATCCTTTTTTTAGTGGGGGGGGGTCTCAAAGACTCCTGGGTAAAGGTTGAATGCAACCCTCCAGGACTTTGACAATTATTATGTTACATTATTTTTATTTATTTTTTGTCGGTTGTGGGGCTTGAACTCTGGGCTAGGGCCTTGTCCCTGAGCTCTTCAGCTCAAGGCTAGTGCTCTACCACGTGAGCCACATCACCACTTCCAGTTTTCTGGTGGTTAATTGGAGATAAGAGTCTCTTGGACCTTCCTGCCCAGCCTGGCTTTGAACCACAATCCTCAGATCTCAGCCTCTTGAGTAGCTAGGATTACAGGCTTGAGCCACTGGCTTTGTTACATTATTTATAGAAGAGGGAGGTTTTATTTTTATATTTAAGGTGTTTTTTTTTAAATTCTGGACCTTTTTTCTTTTTGAAATTTTACCTTTTTTTGGAGGAACTTGAAACAGGAAATGGGTTTGGAGGAAATATTTAGAGCAAAGAAGAATTGAGCTGGGATTTCTGGTGTGTTCTTATAACCCTGGAACTCTAGAAGCTGAAAGCTGGAGGATCTAGAATTCCAAGCCAGGCTGAACTATATTGTAAGAAAACTGACTCATGAGGGTATCAGAATAAAGGTCTGAAAGCAAACTCACAAACCAACGCTTTATTCTGGAGTGAACCTGGGAAGGGCGACTGAGTCTCCCCTACAGCGTGGATGAAGGGGAAATGGTGCCGCCCCGCCCCTTTACAACTAGGACTCTTTAAATATTAGGCAGAAAGAGTGAAGTGAGGATAGAAGAGGGGGTGGATGGAAGAGAGGTGAGATGGAGGTGGGAGTGGGTGAGCAATGTTATTTTGACTGAAGAATTTCAAGGTTTCAGCAGCATCTGTGCTTGTGGGCGTCAGATGTTACCTTGGTCTCAGCCTCTCTTCGAAGACTGGTACATTAGTTCTAGGGTAAGGGGGAGATTGTTTAGCAGGGTCTGCAGCAAGGACAGTTCTAAGATATGGCTGTTGGGGGCAGGAGTGCTTTAGGTTAAGTCATTTTCCATCATATATAATGAGACCCTGTCTCCAAAACATTCAGATTTCAAACTAGAGTCCTTGCTCTTGCTAGGCAAGTACTTACTACTGAGTTGTGTTCTCAACCCAATGATTTTAAATGGTTTCCACTATGGCTTGTTTTTTTCTTTTAAAATGTTAATTCAGTACACCTTCACCACTAGAGATTTGATTTATTGGGTCTTTGTTTACTGGTGGGTTACAAATCGGGAGCTACTGGAGGGAAGTGACAGTGCTTAGGGAGATTGAAGGAAGGCTGAGTGCATATTTTGTTACAGAGGAAATTTGTTGGGAGGAGCAACATTTTAGCTAGACTTTGAAGAGCCAGGAAGCTTGCTAGGTACTTGGCATTTTTGAGAGGAGGTAACTATGAGCAAAGGTTTGTGGTAGAAAGTTTCAAAATGGGAAATGAAGGCTTAGGTCCCGGCCCTGTTCAGTAGAGTAAGGGAAGGTTTTGAGAGGAAAAGAATTTGTCAGAAACTCTGGGTTGGATAAGGTGGAGTGGCATGTAGGTTTTAAGTCTTGGTGGCAGGACAGCTAATATGGTTGATTTGACATGTTGATTGGTTGGACCACCAGGTAGTCAACTTTTTGTTTTTTATATTTTGAGGCAGAATCTCACTGTCAGCCCAAGCTGGCCTGGAACTTAAATCCTCTTGCTTCAGCCTCCGCAGTGGTGGAATTGCAGGTGTTCATCAGGTAGCTGGCTGGTGGTCAACATTTAAGGAATACATATTTGTCAGGAAGTGCATTCAGGGTTGTCCATAACTCAGTATTGCAGTCTGGTAGGGGAGCAAAACAGAAAGGATGGTTTGATACCTGTAGAAGATGAAGTTTGTGAAGGACATTAGCACATAAGATAGATTCTAAATGTTTTCCGGAGACAGTTTCTGGTGGAGGGAAGCGCCATGTGCAAAACCATGGGGATAGGAATGTGATTCTATTAGCTTCCTCAAGTATAGGGAC